GGCGCACTTTGATCCAGCCCCTAGTGTCCGCTAGAGGAACTGCAGCTGGTGGCACCTTCAACTTCCTCTTCGCTCAGTTTTGGTGGTTCCTGCTTGGATTAAAGAGATATAAAGACTGCCAGTGCCTTAGTCAGTGAGGCCAAATATGTTACAGCCCCCCCCTGCTGTCTGACCGAGGAACTACAGCCACCTGATCCTGACCCCTAGTCTGATCCCAGTTGAATCTGTGTCAGGACTTTAAAATGTTTTACCTTCTGATTGGTTCATTTAGCTCGACATCGGCATGCTTTGGTTCATTTGTAGTTTTTTAGGTGTGACACTGAATTCACTTTGTTTCCTATTTTGTTATGTGATAGCTGTATGTTTATATTCAGTCAACAGATTTAGATCTTGGGACGGTGTAAACTAATGCTAATTGTTTCTTTTTAAGAATAGCATTTTTACACTCAACTTATTTACTTTCTAATTTATTGTCCTTTTTAATTTAGCAATCATTTTCAATGTTAGGCTGACTAAGGTGGGAAGTTGACTGTTAGCTTTGGGCCCTTTGACCTGTGGAAGGTGGTTTGTTTTGCCGTTTGTTTTGCCGTGCTTCAATCATGAAACACACAGAACACAAACACCTTAAATAATTGATAATATTCTGTCCGTTTTGGGTTTTTTCATGTTTAAGTTTGTGTGGTTTCCTCTGTCCTGCTGATGTGAGCGTTGCTACAGCTAATCCACGTAGACGTCTGAATAATAAGAGAGGTAATAGAGATAATTAACGCTAATGTGCCGCTCCTTTTTTCCTTTTTCTTTACAAAATGATAACATGTACATAACATTACGTGGGAAGCAACAATAAAGCGCTTTCTGGAGTTGGAGGTTTTACAGACTGTCTTTTGTCCTCAAATTCTTTCAAACTGTAGTTATTCAAGTATCCTGCAAATATGTCAAGTACATGCATTAAAGAGTGGGGAACTGGGAGGAGATATTTAAGGATATTTTATAGGCAACTGGTTCTCAATTCCCATTGATTTCTGCTCCATAGAAAATGCCACATGACTGTTAGAGAACTTGTATGGTTCGGTTTTAAATTGTCAAATGTGTTTCATTGTTGTATTTGAGAACAAAGTGTGGCGCTATAGTTGCTGAAATAATCCAACATTTACCTAAAAGGTTTTTTTCCTCAACAGCATAGTCTTTAGCTTAGCAGGTGGTATGTTGTTGCAGTGCATGCTGTGAACCAAATACTTTTCTTGAGGTTAAATATTCAGTCTTTTTCTGGCGCATTCGCTTTGTCAGTATAATGATGATGAGTGTGGAAACAATGGGTCGTATATGCAGCTGGGAGGAGATAGGGTGACCAGATCCCAACAAACCAAATGTGGGACAAGGAGTATTGTTGTGTGGGACAATGTGGGACACCCTCTCAACAGCACCCCCCCCCCCGGAAAAAAAACGTAACAAATATATAACGGAGCAAAAAGTGAAGTCAAAATGCAGTAACAATTTAGTATCTTAATAAAGAAAAGTAAACTAAGGCTAACCAAGGCAGCAGGCATTATTCACTTCAAGTGTTTAGAAATGCATCTTCTTAATTCAACTAGTGTAGTCTGTACAAGTAGTCACAACATAAATTAATAGATAAAATAAAACCATAAATACAAATGAAAACTGGCCAGGAGGGAACAAAAACATAATAATACATATAAAATAGTTTTCAGTTTTGTCCATCACAGCAACAGCAGGTGGGCCCCCCCCCCCCCCCCCCCCTCCCCCACACAGTGTGTGGGCTATTTTGTCACCTCGAACCACTGGTGACTTTGACTCTGTCAAACAACTCTCCACAGAGGCAGGGGCAAGCACATCTGTTATTATGGACGCTGCTTTTGTACGACCACATGACATTTTCTTTACTATCTCAGAGTCTGGAAAAATGCACCAAAAGTCGTGAAAATGCTGTGCAGTCCCGCGCAAAGCGGGACATCTGGTCAGCCTAACTGGAGGATATGGTGAAAAGCTCAGGAAAAACTACGGATTAAACCTTGAATTACAAATATGTTAAAAATTCAAATGTTTTAACCTATATTGGCACATAATTGTTTAAATTCAAGATGTTCTACCTGATGTAAAGCTGCAGCTCTGCTATTGGCCATTTTTTAAATCGATTTATTAAAGTAAGTGTTATTTTAATTATATATATTTTAAAACAGGTATGACAGTCCCTATGGAAAGGTCTTAAAGAAAGCAATACTATTGTCACCTGGGACCTTTTTATAGGGTCACCTTTTAAAGAGTGACCCCTGCTCCAGAAGAACCTGCTGTAAATGACATGAGCCATCTGCTGGTTCAGCCCTTCGCTCAGTTGCATATATGAGGGATCTTTCCTTTTCAAACCCATTTCAAAGTTGTCTGTGAGCAGACTTCTAGGAAGTACTCTTTAACCCTCTGGAGTCTAAGGGTATGTTCTCGATTTTTAGATGTTTTCTTAAATCACCTTTTAAATGTATTTATTCTAACATGGCACCCCATGTGTTACATATCAAAATGCTCAGGACAATCTCTAGTATTGCTATATATGCAAATTACTCACCTTAGAGCACTGTTTGATGAGATAAGTAGCTCAAAAGCTTAACATTTGACATCCGATTTTCGGAAAATCTTCAAAACTTTTGTGAAAACACAAATGTACTCATGTGATCGAATTGTTTTGGTGTTTTAGATTTGGTTACCAAAGTCTTAGGATCACAAAAGCAGTGAAATATTTGAATTACACTGTATATAAATGTGTTATTCATGTCTAAAATGAAAAAAATTCAATACGAATTTTGAGTAAAATAGGTGTTTATCACTCTACTTTCACCACAGCAGGGACTGAGATACATTAGGACTGAATAATGACTTCATATTACATACCAAGGTTCATGTGATGTGTACAAATACAAATTGAGCATTCAACCTTTTTTTTCAACCAACAATTTATTATAAATATGTTTTTTTCAACCAACTATTTATATAAATATAAGAAACTGGAAAATCTCACTATTTACAATATTGAACATCAGAACTTTCAACCAACTATTCATTATAAATGTCAAGACAGTGTCAAGGTCTTTGTCTGTCTTCCAAGACAGTGGGTCTGGCTGCTGTGAAGATGGGGGTGATGGTGCATGGGCTGCTGTGTAGGTGGGGTGTACAAGTGCTATACGAGACCTCCACGAGACCTCCTTGCTGGCTGGGTTGAAGGTGATGGCTGTGGTGGAGCCTTTGTGCTGAGGTGTATCTTGACCTGGTGGCTAGCCGCAGATGGAGGTGGGAGGCAGCTGTAGTGATGCTGGTCTGCTGGTCCTTGGTGGTGATCGCTCTGGTGAAGGCCCTTGAGCCACGGTAGATCTTGACCTGGGGGCCGGCACAGATGGATGTTCTGGCTGCTGGATAAACGCCACCACCTGTGGGCCACTAGGCCCAGACAGCTGTGAAACCTCTCTGTAAAACAAATTAAAATGTAGGACAATAATTACAACTAATTTCATTGAAATAAAGTTCAAGTAAAATGTTGCTCAAGCACAAATAACAATGCACACATTAAAAGAAAGTTTGGGAGTTTGGAGAAGGAGTCTCTCTCGATCTCTCTCTCACACACACACACGCACACGCACACACACACACAGGTATTTCCAGTTACTTTACATTCAGTATAAAATCACAGACACACATATACATAGGCTACATCTGATTACAAAGTCTCATCTGTACAGAACAGTATGATAAAATAATCGATGGCAAAAACATGTCACTGTAAATGTCTCTGTTGTGGGACGAATAAATGATTAATGTAATCCTCTACACATGTAATGTCACTTTTACACACCAAAATAACGTTAACACAGAGTAAACGTTTGCTAATGGAGAGTCTATTTTGTCCCAATAAAAAGTTCATGACTCGATAAAAAATATATATCAATAAACCTATTGTTAATTTTCGCGGTATTCCCCACACATTGCCAGTACACTATTACTGTAATATTTACACTTACCCATGCCCAAATGGATCCTTGTTGTTGTCTTTGTATTCTTCTTCTTCAGAAGAGTCGAAGACTTCACGTTCTGAGGCTCTATCTTCACTGCTGCTAGCGAAAAAAATCTCTAGCGAAGTCGGCAACTGTAAAGTTTTTTTAGCCATTTTCTGTCTCTCTCTCTCTCTCCTCAAAGACGTAAACTGATGGGAGACACGTGGTTTATGTTTTGTTTACTTGGTGGGTAGGTCCTTAGTGATTTCTCGATGTCCATTGGTCATTTCAGACCATGATGGCTGCCGGCCGAGATTTCCTTGACGGACACACGAATCCACCAATCCCACACAGTGTAAAGTCAAGCTGCTTTGAGCGGCCATATTGGCTGCTGTGCCCTGGTTACAGTCTCACAGGAGATACCGCTGGAAAGCTACTTTTCCAGCGATTCCGCGGATATCTGAATCATATTTCTACTCCTTATAATCGAAAATATATGATTAATTATGTAAAATTATGCGCACCTGGACCGACTCCAGAGGGTTAACTTGAACAACAATTATCCCAACTGCAGACAAATTTGAATGAAAATTCCTGCTTTTTCACTTAAATTACAACAATATCAGCAAAAAGTATCAAACATTAAAGTTCTCATTATGCACAATGGCCCATTATAAGAACAATATATATTATATTATGAAACTATAATTATTTATGCCTTTATTTGTACATCTCTGGGGATAATGTTTTATAACTATAATTATTGCATTTATTTTTTTGATTATTACTACCTTGACATCCGCAATGTATGTAAAATAAAGAGCAATATTTTCCTCAATCATTTAGCAAAGTTTGACTTAATTACAGTGCAATTTGACTTTACTACAGTATTTTAGTAAATATTCATCTCAACCACTAGTGACATGTTTTCTTTTGAATACAACAGGATGAAAAAAATGTGGATAAACTCGAGACAATTGAAAATAAATCGGGCTGAGCCAAAGGTAGAAAATCTGCAGACATTTTTATTAAATTGACAAATTTGTATCTGTACAGCAAAATCAAACTTCACAATGATAAATCTGTTACGGTTCATATTACATGGCATATGTAAAAAGAAAAAAATGCACACCGCTAAAGTTTGTTCACATAGAGACGTACAAAACTGGTTCTGATGGTCGCCATAGAGATGGTTTATAAAAGCTCTGAGCAGCGAGCTGTGTTCCGTCTGACCGTCAACCCGCCATCAGGAAGAGGACCCCCCCTCAAATAATCTGCAACTTCAGTTCATTAACTTTTGTAAATGAGGAGCAGAAAGTATTTAGTAAATGCTGCCAACCTCCTGCTTTTAGATCATTCACAAATATTAATATACAACTAAAAGCTGCAAAGCAAGCAGAGAGAGGATACATTTCTATTTTTTTTTTACAAATGAATGAGGCACAATTTCCAGTGATGTCAGCGCCCTGCAGACCTGCATCAAGTTAAAGTGCAAAATTAAATATTAAACAATCCAAACAATGCTTGAATCTCTTTAGTTTAATTTAGAGTTACAAGTCATTTGCCTGCCTAACAAAAGCATGTTTATGGCTCGAGAGTGTCAACAACCTAGCGGGGGTTTTCCATCCGGGTTTAAACATTGAATAATTTGTTATAACGTCAGCATAAAGCCAACATGCTTTGTAACTTTCTTTCTTTAATTTGAAACATGTTCCTCTAATGATTGGAAACTGAATATATGTTTCCTCTGAATGTAAAGTCTACGTTACACACCAATCAATGGGACTTTAAACTAAACACACAATCTGAATGTTTTGAGGTAAAACCCCTCTGACTGCTGCCCCCTTGCCCATAACTCTGCATCAAGACCACGTAAAGCTGCTGATGTTCAGGTTTTGGCCACCAGGGGGCAGCAACAAGCCGTTGGGATAAGAGCTCGAGCAGTTAGCTTAGCGTAAAATCTGGAAGCAGGGTGGAACGGCTAGACTGTCTCTGTCCAAAGTAATAAAAAAAAGTACGCCTACCAATAATTTACATATACGACCAGAAATAGCTATTTCTTGATGCCCCAGTAACACTTCAGGATCTCTCAGCAGTTGTCGTCCAAAAAAGAAAGTTCTATTACCTCGTGATCAAATCGTTACGTTTTTTGATTTATTACATTACATTTTGTATGGATAAAAAAATGAGCTGAGTTAATATAAGGTGTCTTGATGGGTTTCGGTGGCTATTTTAAAGAAAATTGGTATTATCTGTTTCCCTTCTGTGTGCAGTTGCAGTTCAAAACCTAAATGATTACCTTTGACTTGTTTATGCCAATTTCAGACGATGTTTTCTCAGTCACATTTAGAGGGTGCAGCTCAGTCCAGGTTTATTAGTCTGACCTTTAGCGTGTTATTGAAGCAGAATTGAAAAAAAGGTATGTGTGCCAGCTGTTTATTTGCCATATTAGCAATAACTTACTTCCTTACAAAACTGCACAAACTGCTAATGTTTGTGCTCAGGCATGTTGCTCATGGTACAGACTGCAGAAGATGAAGCCTCTCTGAGTGTAGTGTAACAGATTGTGTTCATTAAAGGCAACAGAGGACATGGGACGACGCAGGTCATGATGAGAATATCCAGAAAGATCCACAACTCAACGTAAGGAGCCGTACCCGGCGAGTCAGACGGGGTCCTGTAAGGGAGTGAAGAGGACGGGACTTCACGATTGATGGGGAAAAAAGTCTGAAAGCAACAGGGACGTCTGAAAGAATTCAAAGTTCAGTTGCTGAGTGTGCGATTCCAGCAGCCACTTTGAAAGAAACAACGTCCTGTTGCTCGACATGCTCCAGTCTCTGAGTTAAATATCACAAAAAAGCAACGATTGGAAAGCAATCCAAACCTCAGAAGCAGCAGCCTTCAGTCAAATCATGATCGGTGCTCCTTTAGGAACTCAAAAGATGCCTCACATCCGACCCCGAACAACACCCTCCACAAAGCAGATATATTGGGGGAGGAAATATAATATCAGCGCTCCAATCTGACGCTCAGTCTGGAGATGGCCAGAACGGAGAATTTTCAGGGATTTTGTTTGCATTTGATTCAAATGTTCAGCAGCAGCAAATAAACGGAGCGGTTCCAGATGTGGAAATGGTGTTGGCACTGTGCAGGGTGGCTGGTTAAAGACCGGGAAGCTGCGTAAGGACGAGAAAGAGGAGGAGGAGGAAGGTGCGAGGAGTCAGTCTTTTGTGGGCGCACTCCCTCTCTACCGGTCCTTCAGCTCTCTGGTCACTCTCTTGGTGATGCGGCCGCACAGCAGCCCCACCAGGAAGAGGATGCACACGCTCAGAGAGATCATCAGCAGGATGTAGTTCTTGGAGGGCGAGATCATCACCTGCACCGCCAGGTCTGAGAAGCCCTCTGCTGGCGCCACCTGCAGGACGGGGGGGGGGGGGTTATATACTTCAGATTTATAGCCCTGTGACAATCCAGACCGATGCATTTGGTCTGGTCAAGCACCAGTGGTGGAAGACGTATTCAGATGCTTTACTTGAGTAAAAGTACCAATACATTATTGTCAAAATACTTCATTACAGGTAAAAGTCCTGCTTTCAAAATCTGACTTAAGTAAAAGTACAGAAGTATTATCAGATATTAGGAAAATTGACATAGTATAACAAGTAAAAGTAATCATTGTGCAGAAAAATGGCCTTCATATATATATATATATATATATATATATATACATGTTTTGATAATATTGTTGCATCAAGTAGCATAAAATGGAAACCTCAAAATTGCACTTAAGTACATTTACTTCCCACCTCCGTCAAATGCTACCTAAACTGAAGACCTTTCAACCAGCGTCAGGGCTAATTTACAAATGTTAGCATACATAAAAGGCTAAACTTAGCTTGTTTCCTTTGCTTGTATTAAGCTATGCTAAGCTAATGGCCTTCTGGCCGTAGCTACCAACTACTATCATCTATCTCTTATCAAGAAAGTGTTATCAAAAATTCCTTTACGGGTAATCTAAAAAACTAAACAGTGATAATACATATGGAAAATAGGTAATAATAGATTTTGGTGCCTACAAAGTTAAATTGTTTATCAACCTATACTAAGGGAAAAAAACATTTCTAGTCTTTTGTAATGCCAGTTGAACCCCCTGGTGTTTTACCTTTGCAGCGTAGCTCCACATGTCGATGCGGTCCTGAAGTCTCTTTTTACACTCCGGCTGCAGACGGACCCTCTTGTCCTGTAACGCCTCGATAAGACACGACATTTCTGGACAAAGAGAGGGAGAGACAAGTGAGAACATTCACACACAGTAAGTTCTGTGAATCTTGCTATATTGAGTGAAGCACCCACGTCGCCCCCTCCCCGGCGTGATGGCAGCACAGTGGTGTTTGAGGTCCAGAGCGCAGGCTGTGTGGAGCACCGGGTCCACGAAGATGTCTGCCTTACTCTCCTTCAGCATGTTCAGCACCTCCTGCAACAAAGGAAGGAGGAACAGGGAGCGATCAAGGATGAGGTTCTGCAACTCATCTATTTAGACCTTATGATGAATCATCCAAATGAGATTTAGAGGAGTTAAAAACATGTTTTAATGGTGTTCACTACATAGAGACTAATTATAAAGACACTTGAAACATTTCCCAACAGAACTCCATCCATCCTTACTAACTTGTTTGGATGTTTTACAAAGCAAGTCATAGGCTCTTTGGTTCCACAGACGACACCTGGAGGAGGATGCTCTAACTTATTCCCTGCATTACCTCATAATGAATACAAATATACATTTAACAAATATAGCACGTTGTTAACCAACTCCAGTACACCCTTTTTGTAAATATCAGCCTGCTTTGGAAGAGTCTGTTTGACATTTCAAAGAAATACGATGGTTCAATCTACAACTAACCCTACGACCACCCACACCACAGGTTCGGAGCATTTCCCAGAACAGGGATGCAAACTCATCAGGTATGAAAAAGGTGACAAGGATCCGAGCCCCCCGACCCCACGGAATATCGGCTTTAAAATTAGGAATAACAGGATGTTAGCAGTCAGAACAACTAAAGCAGCAGTGTTAATAAGAACAGAAATGCCAAAGAGTCACATCTAATATAAATATATATAAAAGTATTTATTTTAATTGTGTAGCAGTCAGTTTATCATTTTGGCAGCACTGTTGAGCATTTTGAAAATGTATTTTCATGCCTCTGTGCAAGGCTTAGTCTTTCTATCTTTATAGCCACTGGTGTAAAGTAACTAAGTTCATAAACTCAAGTACTACTTGGGTACAATTTTGAGATACTTGTACTTTATTAAGTATTTCAATGTTTCTTTTGCTACTTTGTACTTCTACTCCACTACAGTTCAGAGGTACATGGTGTACTTTTGACTCCACTACATGTATTTATTACCTTTAGTTACTTTACAGATGTGGATGAATGATGTGAAATCTAATCAAGTGTTGAATCAGACTTTAGTTCCACCTGGAGTAAATTCACCAGCTACCCTGCAGTATACAAAGTCATTCAGACTAGCTGCACCTTTACCAGCTTTGAGAACTCTTTCATGATCAATCATTATAAAACATATCATATATATTATTCTGAAATGGACCAATCTGCACAACGACTACTTTTACTGTCGCTACTTTAATACTTTTACTTGAGGAACATTTTGAATGCAGTACTTTTACTGTAACAGAGTATTCCTACACTCTGGTGCTTCTAGTACAAGACCTGAGTACTTCTACTTTTACTGTCGCTACTTTAACTATATTTTGATGATAATACTTTTGTACTTTTATTTGAGGAACATTTTGATCGCAGGATTGTTCCTACATTCTGGTACTTCTACTTTAACTCAAGTACAAGACCTGGGTACTTCTACTTTTACTCAAGTATTCGAGTTGAGGGGGGATGAGGGGGGATGGCATCCCCCCTGAAATAAAAACGGTCAAAATCATCCCCCTTCTAAAACTGCCATTCCCCCTTTCCATCCCTTATGTAATTGTATCAATGAACGTGGCACTGGTATTACTGCTATTTCAACATTAATTTTGCGAATTTTGAGTAAAATACTGTGGGCGAGGGAGCACGCACACACGCAATGACATTTTTACCAAGTCACTGACGCTATGCTATGCGAGTGCCCTAGAGGGCGCCAGAGCGCCGTGATGCGCCTGTTTGATCGATGCCAGAAGCGCAGGTAACGGTCATCACAATGGCCAAGCGACCAGGAGGACAACGCGATCTGAGGGACTTCATATTTAAAAATACTAAAAATAACATTTCAGGTAAGTCAAGAGTCAGTAATCTTAGTCATTACTCACTACTTTAGTCACCAAAGGTGGAATCTATGGACATAAGCAGCAATAACAACTTAGTTTGGAGTTATACGTTTTTCTCTCGTGTTAGCTAGCTGGTAAGACTCAAAACTGTTGATGAAAAGATACCACCAGCACCAGAAGAGCTGAAACCCCTCCTTCAAGCAGTGAACACTCTGGTCATCTCCACAGCTGAGTGTGAACGTGGGTTTAGTCAGGTGAACATTTTAACCACAACTAGAAGCTCCCTTTTCATGAATAATTTACATAATGATTTAATTAATTATGATACAAATGTAACCCTTTAGATACCAGTTTTGATCGTATACCAGTAACTGCTTTTTTGAAAAAATACATTATAATTCAATATTCTAAAAACTATTTTGACTTTATTATTAGTGTAATCAGTTGATCCATCTGAATAATAAATGAGGGACTGTTAACCTACAAGATTTGTACCATAGACTTCCATTATAACCACATTTTTGTATCCCCTCCCCCCCTTTAAATTAAAGTGAAAAAAAGATTTTGCACTAATTGTCCTCTGCATTTGACCCTAAATGTTAGAGGTGCCTTGGTCAAGAGCAATGAAAGGAGTATCTGAACATCCATAACATGCATGTTGTTTTAGGAGTATAATAATGATCTTTATTCTGGTTGGTCTCCCACCCTCGGCGGGTTATCAGCACAAATTATGTCCCCATATGATCAAATCCACCACCCCCCCTGATTTTTTTTTACAACTTGAGTACAAGATCTATACTTATACCACCTCCATTTATAGCCTATGAAAAAAACTATTAGAAAACGAAGGCTAAAGCTAACGTTAGCAGATAGTGATGCTAGTTTGCTAGTTAAGTTTGCTCAACGATAATATTGCGACAGAAAAACTTTTCAGTGCACATCACGCTCTGCCGCTCCGACAGGGAGCTCTGCTCTGAACACCTGAACGGCCCGTTCTAACAGCTGTTCACCAGCGGTCCAGTCCAGACTCCGGACTAGTGTTGTCACGATACCAACATTTTGGTTTCGATACCGATACTAAGTCAAGAATTGCGATTCTGATTCTTTTTCTTTATATTAACATATAGACATATTAGACAGTTATCATTGCCATTAATTGCCTCGTCAAACTACGAAAACGTTCGTTTGTCACAAAATAAATTACACTTGTTTGACTTAGATTTGAGGACATGGGCTTGAACATGATGTAATTATGTTATCTATCACATTCGCTAACCTGTCTGTCTTTACATTCTTTAAACAGCTCTGGATGCCGGTCGGCGAGGTGCTTAGCCAAGTCTGATGTGTTGGCTCCCTTGGTTTGCAGGGATCTAAAACATGTCTCACAGACAGGCCTCGTGGTGTCCGTAGGCTTGCCCTCACTGTCAGAGATATAGCTCAAATACTTCCAAATTTCGCTTTTGGCGTCTTTTTTGTCAACAAGCCGAGGCGCAAGCGGCAGTTGCACTCTCCACCTTGCAGCCATGCTTCTCGTTTTCTCACATGCTCTGAGCAGCTCGCGGTGCACGAGAGAGGGGAGGGACTTAGAGCGTGCTTGAGAGGGGCGGGACTGCAGGCACGGCTGCAGTGCAGGGAGTGGAAGCAGAGCGCTGAACACACACGGCTCTTATTAAAACGGCGCTTTCTCACCGGAGTACTTTCCCCCGTCATTCTTAAAGTACCGATACTAATGAAACGGAGGAATCGTACCGTTTGTAACGGCAGGGTATCGCGGTACCTTTCAAGTATCGGTACACCGTGCAACACTACTCCGGACCACACAGTTAATATTAACGAACGCACCCGTAGGTAATGTAGCTGCTGAAGCTAGACACTCATCGTGGAGCAGCAGAGCCTTATTATACATCCATGAGCAGAGCCGACAGGCAGGAAGACTCGAGCACACAGCTCGCGCTTCATTATAAAATATAAAAAAAGAACACCATGCGTGTCATGATGGCACATAGCAGCTTGCGGCCGCAGATTACTCCGGGTCCCAGACCCCCCCATACCCCAAAAATATTTTTATTGCAGATCTACATGAATCACACAAACGACCTATTTTGGATTCAAAACGGCGAATTTCGCCGAAAGGTGACAAATTTGCATCCCTGCAGAAATATCAAGGTTAAAAAATAAATAATGATATTTACTTTTTTACAGGCTTCCTGTTTGATCTTCAGCAGGTTGACTTTCAGACACTCCTCCACCTGACCCGTCTGCTCCTGAGCTGCTGCCTCCTCTGCACATAGCCTGGGGATCTGAGGAGAGGAGGGAGGGGAGGAGGGGAGAGGAGAGGAAAGGAGATGAGAGAGGAGAGGAAAGGAGAGGAGAGAAGAGAGGAGGGAGGAGAGAGTTTAATGAAAATAAAGAGTTGGTTTAATACAGAGAAAGACATCCATAATAGTCCTTAGGATTGTGTGTGTGTGTGTGTGTGTGTGTGTGTGTGTGTGTGTGTGTGTGTGTGTGTGTGTGTGTGTGTGTGTGTGTGTGTGTGTGTTGTGTGTGTGGTGTGTGTGTGTGTGTGTGTGTGTGTGTGTGTGTGTACCTCATCAGTGCAGTGCATCTGCAGCTGTGGGTCGAGTCTGTAGTCGAGTGCTGACTCCTGCAGGATCACTCTGATCTGATCCTCACAGTCTGGAGACAGCCTCTGGACCACACCCGCCAAAAACACACAGTTCAGGACAACAACAACAATAAGTTGAAGTCAAATATTCATGAAGTATCATGATAAAGACACTGTACAGCTTATAGTAAACAAGTATTAGTTGTTATTTCAAATCTGTGTTAAAGGATTACACCATTTTATTGTTTTTAACAATTAAACCTACATTTACATTTTATTTACCGTTTATTTGATGCCGTTTCTAGTCCAGTAACTATTTTATCCGTATCTTTTATTTGCAGTTTGTTAAGTTGAGGACTCTGAGGTGTGGTCGGCACTGACCTGGTCGGCGTATTTGAGTTTGAGGCAGGCGATGACCTGGCCCTCCAGCTCGCTGTCCTCGCTCGCCTTGTTCAGGATGGGCTGGCAGAACTTTGGGATGTCGGCCCGGCAAGCTTTCCTCAACACCTGGTTCAACCTGTAGTCTGGAGGGGGGCAGGGGAGTTTGTACGGGAGGTGATGTCGAGTCGGATCAGGTTCAGATTACGAGATATGATTCAGACATATTAAGACATGTTTTACTGACCCGTGTTCTGTGTGATCTGTCTCTTGGTGATCATCTGTTTACATTTGGGATCCATCAGCTCGCTGTTCTTGTTCTGTTTCAGACACTGAAGGACGTTCCTGGCGTCCGCGTCAGTACAGAACCTCTGCAGCAGAGAGGCACAAAACTAACTGGGTAAGGGGTCGTCTTGTTGTTTATTACAGCAGCTGACATCTTGAAACCCTCCTCCTCCTCCTCCTCCTCCTCCTCCTCCTCCTCCTCCTCCTCCTCCTCCTCCTCCTCCTCCTCCTCCTCCTCCTCCTCCTCCTCCTCCTCCTCCTCCTCCTCCTCCTCCTCCTCCTCCTCCTCCTCCTCCTCCTCCTCCTCCTCCTCCTCCTCCTCCTCCTCCTCCTCCTCACCTTGATCATCTGCTTGCAGACTCTCATCAGCTGGTAGTCGAGCTCGGGGTCGGTCATCTCCACCTCCTGCAGTCTGAAGATCTTCTGGTGGCAGCGCTGACTCAGGTGCTTCTTCTGCTCCTTCAGACACTCGATCATCTGGGGAGCAGCAGAGAGGGAGGTGGAAATATTAAAAACGTGACTTCAATATTTATTTCAGCTGTTTGCTGCATGTGCGGTGCGCCTCACCTGAGCGTTACCAAAGGCCACGTTGGGACACAGACGGCTGATGTCCGACTTACAGGGATCGTACAACTCTGGTTCCAACCGGATATCCTCCGACTGAAAGAAGAAGAATCTATGTTAACACAAGTGTGCACAAACTGCTGTTTTCACAGTTTGAGACACTTGTATGTGATGTGAGGTATTGACACACAGAGTAAGGTACCTTTGATAGAGAGGAACCGATGTGAACAGGCCAGAAAACGCTCCGAAAAAGAGCAGATTGCACTCATCTGCAAAACTTTATGGGTATGTTTTCTCTGTAATAATTTATTAGCGCAACATTTTTGTAACAGTAATTCTAATATGTTTTGTTGAAAGGTGGTTTCAATTATGATCATTTTAGTTTTTACTCCATACTGGATTGTTAATTAGCTGAGATAGTGCGCTTTTGTTTTATGTATTTTTGACTGTGTGTGGCAGGACGAATAGACAATGCTCATGCTAGTGCTAATGGGATCCTAATAAAAAAGAAAGAACAAGTCTACGGCCATGCTAACAGCTCGGTGAGGTTGTACTTAAAGCCAAATGCTGACATGTTGATGTTAACCAGGCATACATTCATTCTTTGAGAATTTCAGTCGTTTTGCAGGTATTTAGTCGGTCAAAAGGTTGTGTGTGTGTGTGTGTGGTGTGTGTGTGTGTGTGTGTGTGTGTGTGTGTGTGTGTGTGAGAGAGAGAGTGTGTGTGTGTGTGTGTGAGAGTGAGAGAGAGAGAGAGCGTTACCATCTCCAGCTCCTCCACCCGCAGCTGTTTACGACACTTGAGTGAGACCCGCTGCTCCCTGGCGTCCTGCAGCGTGTCGTTCCTCACCGTGGTGCTGAGGCAGATCACGACATCCACCCTGCGGCATGATGGGAAGTGTGAAGTGTGTTGAAAACAGATCAGTTTGCAGAAAAACACTTTGAACTAACTGGCTGCTCACAGAGAACAACAACAGAGGGAAAAGGTACTTTCCATTCTTAGGGATGTTTTAAAGCAAATCAAACTAACTTTTTCTTGATGTTTGGACACAGTCGCAGAACGTCCTCCTTACACGCCATCTTGAATTTGTAGGAGAACCGGAAATCCTTCATCTGGACCTGGAAGGTGAGCATCACGCATATTAAACAGCAAACATCACAGACAAACATCGTCATCTGTCTCTTCATCTTCCTCTCTTTTTTCCTTCTGAATCTTGTGACATGTTAGGGGAATAATTACAGTGTCACACTCCTGTACACACAAGCTGAGCAATTAAGTATTTACACGAACGACCATCTGTCAGTGTAGAGGAGGGTAAAATAACACAGCCAAAACAAAACATAATTATACGTTTTTCTGCTGTGGAAAGCAAAACATTTTGTTATTTTAATTCTAAAATATCTGAAATGTATTGTAACTATAATCCTATGTGAAACACTAATAAAGAAGTGTGTGTGAATGACAGGGAAACAATGAAAACTAAAGCTGCCGAACACATTCCTCAAAATGTATTTTAAATGTGTGAATAATAGAAAATGTGTAGAAATGATCGCTGGCCAAACTGTACACCAAACTGAAATCTTGATTTAGGTAAAAAAGTAATTGATACAGAGTAAGGAAGAGATAAAGATGTCATGGTTACTGACCAGCTGGAAGTGTGTAACGCCGACTAAACATTTTTCATTCATCTCCTTCTGATGTTTGTTCTGAACCAGGCACTCCATCAGATCCCCTGTGTCCACCTGGTTATCAGCTACATCCTACACACACACACACACACACACACACACACACACACACACACACACACACACACACACACACACGATTATTTACAATTTACACATCATTAAAGCCCTGCTTCAGGAGCATGAAGCGCTCAGTTATATTTAGCATGAATCTGGGCGTTATGCGATAAAATAGAGAAGCCCCTTAGCCTATCACGTACAATGTGTTAGAGCGCTAGCCAATAAAAGTGTGAGTGTAACGTAGTGATGTCACTATGTTAGAGAAGTAAACAAAGGAGTCCCTAACCCTAAAATCTACTTGCCAATAAATTGTAACTCACACATTTCGGATTCATTACACCCCTGCTATATATGCTTGCATTAAATGACCAGCTTTTTTTAAATTTGTAAACCCCATGTATATGTTTGTGTGTACTCAAAAGAAAGTACATGTACTCACATGGCAGAAGGCCTGAGTGAGGGGCTCGCAGGCTCTGATGAGCAGAGCGTCGATCTGGATGTCCTGCAGCAGAGAAGAGAGACCAAAGTTCAGGACGTGCAGGTGAGACAAACAAACACTCCCATCAACATTCAAGCTGCTCAGGCAACAAATTACAATAAACAATTTCCCAATCTGGGACATTTAATCTAATCTCTAAAACTGACCTCAGACTCCAGCTCCGTCAGGTTCCCCACCACCTCCCTGCAGGCAGGCACCAAGTCCTCCAAATGATCCTGCAGACACTCCAGCTCCTGACCCACACACACACACACACACACACACACACACACACACACACACACACACACACACACCACACACACACACACACACACACACACACACACACACACACACACACACACACACACACACACACACACACACACACAACACACACACACACACACAACACACACACACACACACACCACACACACACACACACCACACACACACACACACACACACACACACACACACACCACACACACACACACCACACACACACACACACACACACACCACAACACACACACACACACACACACACACACACACACACACACACACACACACACACATCACAAACCACACACACACACATCAGAAGTGGTCAGTAAAGTCTCCTCCTTTACATCATCACATTATGTCTCTTCCAGTTAAGCCCCATGCCCCACTTAACGGGAAGAAACTCAGCTACCTGACGATATTAAGCCGAAACAAAACACAACTCTAACGCCGAGCCTCTGAATTGGCCCTGAGCGAAGAAATGCTAACGCACTTAGCAAAGAACTCACGGTATAAATACTTTATTACTTATCGGATCTGCACAACCAATATATCAGATTAAAGCTGAGATTCCACAGATTCTAGCGGTATAAGTATCATCACTATGCGACCAAAGCTCGCGGCAGCTCAGGCAAACCCAGACAACACACAGCGTAGCTTTACGGAGCCAAAACGGCAAATAGGTCTTACCTTTGCTGTTTTCTGATCAAAAGATGTGTTCAATGGCATTAAAACGATCAAAACGCTGCTGAAGGTTAATCCAATGTGTCTGTGTCACTTTGAAATGATTACTGATAATCCATCATTCAATTTTTGTCAAAACCCCTCAAAAACTGAGATTTGTTGTTGTTTTCATAGAGCAGGGGTACTCAAATACAAATCTTAAAGGTCCAAAATAAATGTTTCAATAAGACAAAGGTCCGTTTATTACGGTCATTCAAACTTTTAAACAATTGCAACAAGATTCTTAACACGAGGTTGCAAAAACAAAAATAATCTGTATGCAGCAGTTTTCATTGTTATTGTGTCTGTGCTTGACCCCTCAGAGTCGCAGTGTAAGAGCTGCACAGTTATGAATAAAGGCAGCTGCACCCTCTTTCATTCAGCATTCCCATTATTGCTTTATAAATGTCTTGCCCCCTTGTGTGTCCACTGAGGTTCGTCAGGCCCAACACATCTTCAACAAACTCCCCCTTTGCCTCATCATAAAAACTCACAAACACCAGCAACTGAGCATTGTCAGTGGTGTCAGTGGACTCACCCACAGCTAAGGAAATGCACTGTGCATTTTTTATTCCATCACAAAGCTGATGAATCAAATCACCAGCCAGTATTTATGTTCTTCTGGTTGCTGTGGAATCTGAGAGGGGATTTGCTTGATTTGACCTGTTATTTCCTCTTTTTGTTTGCCTTCAACATGGTCTCCATCACTTCAGTCATGCATTCTTTTATACTGCAGTTATTATCCAGTGGAAAGTCCTTACCTACTGGCCTAGTTAAATCAAAGTGGTTACTTTTTTTTGGCTGGGCAGTGTAGTTTTACACACCGTCTTATTTGACTTTCTCAGGACTTAAAACTGTTTTTTGGGGGCAGACCCCCACAAAGAAAACAATATATTTACACACGTAAGGTCATCATCTTAATAGTTGTGTATGCTCATCCGTGAGCAGAGCATCAAGTTGACATGTCTATTACAGCTGAATGCGGCTGACGGGATGCTGAATGTGATTGGACCAATGCGTTGTTCCACATTGCATGTCCTGTTCCACACAGACAGTGGAACAGGACATGCAGAGCGCTGTTTGCAGTCTATGGACATAGCGGATCATTTTGACTCGTTGCGTTGTGGCGATGTCTCGCAGATAACACAGATAGTACAGATAATACATATGAAAAGTATAATTTGCTCAGAGTCCAGAGACAGTTGTGGTTCGGTCCGGATCCGGACCGGAGTCCGGACTTTGAGGATGCCTGTCATAGAGTGTGTGAGGAATACAACCCAGCTTCCGGTTTTGGGCATGCTGGCATGCATTCACCAATGGTAATGTTTAGATGTATTTTAGGAACTTCCCCTCGATTCTATTGGCTCTAACGGTTCAAAAGAGGTGTCAATCATCAAAATCGACCAATGGATTCCAGAGATATGGCAAATATAACCAAATGACCCCAGAAGTAGGGTTTTTTCCGCTAAATCTCTCTAAAAAGGTCAATTTTCACTTGTTTTGCATCAATCTATACACTATAACTTAATTTGTTTTACTATGTTCAATCTGAATTTACTTGAAAATAAAAACATCTATATTGATTCTGACTTTTCTACATCCAACTCACAGGTGTATCATTGCTTTGAGAAAAAAGATTATTAATCTACCCCTTTTAGAAATGAAGATATAGCCATTTGTTCTGGGTGTGAGGGAATAATTTAGTCTTTACTCCTAGATATTTAACCTTATTGCCTGTTGACGTTAATAACCAACCAATATTCTGTTATCTCCTTTAAGGAATGTGCTCCAGCACTTAAGTGTCAGTTTTATGGCTTGATGGGGGGGGTTTGACTGTGAGAATGCTGGCTTCTAAACACCACTGACAAGTGATTGAGTATTTCTAGTTGGGGGATATCTCCTCTAGCTCCACAGATGTTTACGCCTCCCCCAATATGCTGATTAACTCTCTGTAAACTAGTTAAAAGGTCTATCGAGAGATAGGCTGGGCAGAATTGACATGACAACCCACTCGTGCAGTCAGAACCTTTTGCTGCTGTGACTTGTGATATGAATTCTCCAGCCGTTGACTTGTAATAAACTATCTTTGTTTGACATCAAAGCTCCAACTCTCCTCGTGTCTCTCTGAGTCCTGACTATCCATTGCTGCAGAAGTTTCCCTTACAAATTGGCGTTGTCGGCAGGATACCAATACATCTTCAGAACTGGTAAGTGTAATTTCAAATCCACATTTGGACATTGCCTTACCAGAATCTGTGATTGACGGTATCCTAAAATTACATGTGAAACTGAGCGGTTGTGCTTAATTTTTTGGTTAATGAACATTTGGCTGATTGCCTCTGTGCATGCTGCTTGGAACGGAAGTACCATACAAGCATGCACAGCTTATGTTCAGAGTAACCTTAAAGAAATACATCAGTAAAGTGGAGCTTCTGTATGAAAGCAATGTAAAGATTTGTATTGGACAAATCGCCGAATTCTGGGGGTTTCAGCGGCCAACACAGCAGTTAAAAATAAGCAGCCTGAGATATTTCCCCCCATTGCCTCTCTAAACACGGCTGCAGAAGCAGCCGCGGGGGTGTGTGTAAATATTCCCCCGTGTCTGGGTGGCTGCAGCCGTGCAGCTGAGAGGAAGAAAGTCACAGCTTTTTGTCTATATCTTTAACTCACACCACCGCCGTCTCTATTAAAAACGAGATGGTCTAAAAGCACTCGTTGTCTGTGACCGTCTTCTACATTGCTGGCAAGGCCGGGGCAGCGCGAGGTGCGTGCATCACCCGATGCGCCACAGCACTCTACTCTGCTAGAGGAACATTTTCTACGTTGCTTGGAAGCGTTCGCTACGTTGCTGGAGCAGCTGGTGGCGGTCCGGGGTGCATACATAAAATTATAGGCTAATTGATCACGGGTGGGCAGTGGCAAGCAAGTGTAGAACAAAACTGTGTTTCATCGTTGGAATGAACACGATGGCGGGTGTATAGGCTGGTCATGTAGGACTACAGTTAACTGTGCTGTTGTTGGAGAGAAAGGGTAGAGGAAAAAAGTCTATGTTCTCCTGGTCGGGGGATCATAGCGCCACTAGAATAGAGTAGTGGTGTCGCAAGAGGATAAGCTAGTTATCGCTTTTGGACGGTCTTCAGGCACGATCTTAGCACTTGTACAAGGGTGGATGCGCGAGTCAAGGTGCTCCATTTCTATAATTCCCTACCCCCTCTGAAACCTCTTAATTCGGACTAAATTGAGCTGGATGAACTCTGCTGTCGCGTTGGTGTTTATTGCGAGTTCATGTTTGTTTGTCTAATTGTTTGTATGGGGGGTCTATATTGGTTTGTCTACCCGCCGTCTTGTGTATGCTTTGTAACAACTAATAATGAATCAGTCCATAGCCAGGGTAAAATGAACTAAACTTTAGTTATCTCACCAAAAGTAAATGACTTGAGAAAAATAAATAATGTAAAGATGTAAAGCAAAATTATATATTATAGTATAAATGTGCTGCAAATGTGCTGCAAAATAAAAATAAATAGCAAAAGAGTGTTTTTATGTCCTGCATCTGAGTGTGCAGAGGAAAATCTAAACAAGAAGCACACTGTTCAAGGTGTGCGCTGTAGGTGTAAGAAGAAAATAAGATGATATTGCTTTAACAATACATTTTAAATTGTATTGCTGGTATGTTAAGATATCTTTGTGAACTTGTATACACCCTATGCCCGTCTTACACCCTGAGACCCTCAGAGGCATCACTGCTGGTCGTAAATACCGGCCTGAGGAGATCAGGGCTGCAAAAAATCTGTCTGCTCAATTAGGTCAATGTTGTATTATTTGTTTCATTTATTCCTAATCTATGTATTGTATGGTAATAATGAATAAAAACGTAATGTATTGAACACATTCCGAAACAAAGCAAGACAGAACTAGACTCAATACTAATTGTTGTTGAAACCTTTTGCGCTGTTGCTGCAAAATGGAAACTTTGTTGATTGTCTATTCCAACTGGCCACTGGAATCAGATAATCGATATAAGTTGAAGTTCAATTACAGTTTTTAAATATAGTTTAACATTCTTTATTAAACTGTTTCAAATTATTTCTAGTACAATTGGTCTACAGACATTACTACAATTCTAATAGTTGTTAAACTACTGAGCTTATGAACAATAGAGTAAAGGTAGCTGGTTAAGCCAGGATCAATATATTTGTTGAGGTTTTATTGTGTGCATAATAAATGTGTTAAATGA